GACTCATCAGGAGGCTGAACCCTCAACAGTCTGCAGAATCCCCTCACTGATTACACTGTAAATGATAATCTACCTTAACCAAAATCAAAGTAGACTATCACTCACCCACCCCAGATGGAAAACTCTACAGACTGTCGGTTCACGCCTTGGCATTTGATTTCAAACGCGCCCAGTGCCCAAGGCTTACATCAATCATTCAACAGTTCAACTCCATATAGCAAGTATCAATTCGAGACAGAGACAGCAAGTAGAGAAAATCTAAAAGAAAGACAGTAGAGGGGAGTGCAAAATAGTTGGGATACAGAGCTCCGAGAGAAATTTACTGGTCCCAGTAATATTCAACATTTACATAGAGGCTCCACTCCGTTTCACGCTTCACAAGGACTCTATCTACCTAATGAAAATTCTGAGAATTCTAAATCGGTGAAGGTGCTGAAAATTTTGAACACCCCTCACCTCAATAGAAAAAAAGGGGGGCGGGGGCCGGGGGGGGCGGGGAGGGGGGGGGGTTGGAATATTTGGCACCTTTGCCACTTCAAAGTTTTCAAATTCGGACACGAGGGGAAACATTTAGAATTCTCAGCACCTTCACCACTTCAGAATTTTCAAAATGTTCATTGTCTATAGTACTCGTATACCAAAAGGGGACATTCAACATTTTCAAAATGTTAAAACTTATAAATTAAAATCCAATTAAGAAATTTTGGCACCTTCACCACTTCAGAATTTTCAGGATATATGCCGCCTGATGCCATAAAAGAAAGGGTCCCCGAGCAACAAAGAGGAAGTCTTAAGACAACCCCTGTTCTGCAATCCCTGGATTAAGTACACAGAGGGCAGACCATGGACCCTCTGGGCCAAAGACCACAGATGGTTGTCTTGGGTGGAGAGAGTATGGCAGGTCGAACATCTGTGGTCTGAGGACTGGCAAGAAAATGGTTAACCGAACAGGACCTCCGCACATCCTTAAAAGGGTGCCACCTACTGACCACCAACCTGTCAGAAATCCTTCAAAGCATTCCCCCCCCATGGGCGACCCTCCTTAAAGAACCACACACGTGGAAACCTGGAGACTAGGGACTGCTCACCACTCAGACCCCACCAACAAGAGCCTACCGCTTTGTGACCCAACCGGACCCGACTAACTACCAGGCCAAGTTCATATCCTACCCCATCATCAAACACAACATATACGAACTAGAGGTCCTAAAGAGAACACCACATAACGAACAAA